ACTAAGAATAATATATGCAGTGTATTATTTGTTGAAACTGTACTTCCGATTTGATTTGAAACTGTCTCATTGCTATATGTTTATCAATAAAACTGTAGGAAAAAAAAAAATAGACTAGAAGGAGGAGAGAGGTGAAAAGGAAGGTAATAGGTGGATAGAAATGAACAAACTATACTCACTGAAGCCCCCAAATGTGCCACTTGGGAAGGGAGGGGCCAGGAGAGTCGGCGGGAGCAAAAATGATCTTAGCATATTATGTATATGCACAGATTCACCGAAATGAAATCCCTTCATCTGTATAATCAACACAAAAGTAAGACGAATTGGAAAAATCACTCATAATCTTAACTTTAGAACTCCAATCTCTTTAATGAGATAGCATCTTGGTATATAATTTCTCAGAGTATTTTTTTAAACCAAAGATTGAACCTTGGGCATTTGAATTAAGCTACCACCCCAAGTCTCTTTCTTAATTTTTTTTAATTTTGGGGTAGGGTCTTGCTAAGTTGCTGTTTCCCAGCCTACTCGAAGTTGTAGTCCTGCCTCAGCTTCCCGGAGTGCTGGATTACAGGTATGCCTAACCATATATGGCGACAGATCTTTTTATTAACATCTTTTAAAATTGGGGGTTTTTTAATATTTAAAGTGATAAGGCAGAGAATTTTATAATACTGTATGAGACATAGATCTAGAGGTTGAAAGTTAAATGAACTCATCAGAGAAGTAATTCATAAGTCAAAAATGAGTCTAAGAATTCTTGTTTGAGAAAAAAAAAAAAAAAGATGTGAATAACTGAAATGAGACCAGAGAAGGAAGAACAGGCTTGTTTGGCTTGGGTCAAGGTGGTGTGCAGAGAAACAGCAAACTCTAATTTTCACCTGTTGAATTTAATATCCAGGCAAGGATAACAAAAGGTTCATTATTTTCTGAATAACTGTTTTCTCATCATGTTCAGGGATATACAAAATTTTCATTAGTTAGAAAGGACAATCACAGCTTTCCTATTTCAATAACCCAACACCCTCAGAACTCCTTCCCTTCCTGCTACAAGCGTACTTCAACTCTATTCTGCTAATTGACATCTGCAGCAAAACATACAGAGATTTGCAAATCATATTTGTCTGGTATTCAGTGCAAATAGAGAAAGACCCACCACAACATAAGTGTTCTTTTTAGCAATTAACACCACGAAAAGAGCTCTATCATATAAAAAAAAAAAAATACTACAGGGTAAGTTATGGGTAAAATGTGAAACATTTGCATAGGACACCAGTTTCACATGATGTGATAAATACACCTTTGTTTCACAATATAAAAGAGTATCATAAGGATTTACACGGTTTTCTGCATATAATGCTTTAGTGAAACACACACAAACTGGCTACTATAAAATTCTGACATTTTTAAAATTAGAAAACAGTACATGTTCACAATAAATTCTGTGGTTAATGTAGGAAAGTGATATAGCATGCTTTGTTTACAACTGAAAATTTCCCCAAAAAGGCTAAGAGATGATAGTGGGGATGATACATATTTATTAAGCATTTCTATATGCCAGGAACTGTTCTGAAAGACTTACATTTAATTCACTTATTAAAGAGATTTAAAGAGGTCTGATAACATAAATGGTATATCAGTAATAGAAAGAATATCATCTAATGGAAAGTCAAACATTTCTTTTTTAATTGAAGATTATTCCTTTTATAAAATATATTACAACTCCACAGGCACAACTAGGGAGGAGAAATATATACAGGGAAAATTAGAAAAAAACTATAATAAACTGTATCTATAATTTTTCCATGACATTAAATTTTTCTTCTGAAAATAGAACTAAAGTCTTCAAAATAATTGAACAAGAAAATAATTTTACTTTCAAATAATCTTTTGCATGCCAACATTACCTTCTTAAAATATATCTAGAGAGTATCCATGTTGTTGCCTAATTTGACCAAAAGTGAATTTTTGAACATCAACTATAGGTCTAGTTGTCTCAGATATTTTATTCTAGAATTCTCTTGTATGGTTACTTCTATATCATTGTTCATTCCCTGAATAATATTTCATATGGGATCATTCTAAATACTTCAAGCATAATTTTGTACAATTTAGTCAAGCTTCCTACCATTAGCAGAAAAGGCTATATTTTATAACAGAAGATTCTTGAATATAATTTTACCTCTGAAGGTATCAAATGTTTTAAGGATTTATAAATAATTTGAGATAAAATTTAGCCACAATCTTGATACTGTAGAAACTTGAAATTTAATGCCAGTCCTTATTTCCTTCTTTTCAATCATCCTGATCATTGAATTCCTAGAAATCTGGCTGTCTTGCTTAGCTTCTTTTCTCTTTTAAACCTATTTGAATTTCTCTTATAGTTTGTGATCCTAATTATTAAAAGCAAAAACAAAAAAACAGAACTGTGAATTCACAGAATCACTGACTTCCAATAGTATAAAATGCTGAGGGCCCTTGAATCCCGAGCCTCGCATACCAAACGCCTCACGGCCCTCAGCCAGGCAGCCTGAATGTTTCCCGGCCCCCACCCCTGTCCAAACAGAAGATAACCTACAAGACAACTCATTCCATCTTCAGTTTTCATGACTTGAAAAAGGTGTTCTCTACACTCGACTGAAATTGTCTTCCCTAACCTGCCGGATACTTGGTGGCTTCACCCATCTCAGCAGCGGCTCTGGCAGAATGACCTTGGGCAAGTTAATCTTTCAGTTGTAAAATAAGGATAATAAAGGTGTGCTCTGGGGCTGTGGAGATTAAACAGGAATGTTTATAAAGCACCTGGCACAGCAGAGGGCCTCCGAGAGTGGGGGCCTTTATTAGAAATGGAAAATCTTCCTCTACATGGCTGATGCGGTAGCCACTACCACTTTCTCTCCTCCTGGCCCAGTCAGTACCCCCATTTCCTTCAATATTTCCTCAAACTCCATGGTATTTTTTTCTTACTCTTCTATTTGTTTTCTCAGTAAGCTCAGTTCTTTGAGAGAAAGACCAATTGCCAATCTAGGGAAAAAATAACAATGATCAACTATTTTTTCAACTGAGGGCAAGTGTCACACTAGCGTCATTGTAAGATACTACTTCTCTTTCCCTGATGCTGGATTAACTTTGTCCCCTTCCCTCTTCTGTTCAAGGTCTGCATGTTCGGCCCCCTGGCAAGCCAGGCTATGGGGAAAGCAATAGGCATGGATACTTCCTGGTTCTAAGGTCAGGAGTAGACAGAAGCACCCCTCAGACACTAGGGTGCATTGGAGAGGCTTCCCTCTTCGTTCTGGTAGGAGGGCGGCTCTTCATCCTCCAGGGCTGCTCCTCTCTGGGCTCTCCATGCCTCCCTCTGGACTGCACAATTCTGGGTGGTGGCTCCATAAGACATCTTCTTCCTGGGACTCGCGAAAGTCTCGTGGTTGAGTTCGGTCTCTTCAGCTAGTTCGTCCTGGTCAATGATCCCACACTTATCCTCCGAAAGGTTCTCTGGGTCAGCCCACTCCTGTTTCTCCCCAGAAGCGAAGACCCCGTAGAAGATCACCCCACTGTAGTGCACCAGGGCTGCTACGAGGAACACGTTCTGCCACTCCTCGCGCGTCTGAACATGGAGACAAAGTGCCAGTTAGCGCCTTCCAGCCCTCTCAGGGGTTCAGAGACGTCCTACGGGCCTCCACTGCGACAAAAGCGCTTGTCCTTATCCTCAAAAACAGCGCTGCTCTGCATGACAGAACCAGCCGCCAGTACCCCATCTAATGTGAGCACTCAAAACACTAAGGGTAAGACTACAATGAATGTGTTTCTTTAGTTTTAAAAGTAACATCTGATTTTTTTAATGTAAAACTATATCTCCCACCATTGCACGGACTTCACATAGTCAGCAAAGTTAAGCTTGCTTCAGGGCCCTGCTATTTTCAATATCAGAGATCCCCTTCTTGCTTGCTGTTGGATGCATCACAATACTGGGCCAGGAAAACATTCAGCTTGACTACCAAAAGCTGGTTCATAATCCTATCTTCTTTTCTTTTCTGCCTTTTTTTTTTTTTTAATTGAGTACAGAGTCTCCAGGGTCTCACTGCACAGATCAGACTCCTAATGATCCTCCTGTTTTCAGCCTCCCAAGTGCTGAGATTACAGGTGTGCGCCACCACGCCCAGTATCAGTCCCATCTCAGCGTGTCCCAGGGGCAGGGCTGCATGGCACGGGAATCAAATTTGTATTTAAAGTTAGGGGAAGCTAGTCTCTTAGATTTGATACCCTCGCTACCAATCCTATCACCTCATGAAGAGTTGGAAAATGTGGATCCCCTGCCTGTAAAATGCGCAAATTCTACCTTCTTCTTTTTTTTTAATCAAGCAAGAAAAATAATTTCATATTTTCTCCTCCAAGAAGATTGAAGGATTTCTGAAGTCATACTTAAGAAAGATTATCATACTTAAGAATTTCTGAAATCATACTAAGAAATGCAACTAAGAAATGGTTGTTTAAAAAAACACAAAATATAAAAATTTTTTAAAAATCCATGTTCAGAAATCAGGAATGTGAAATTTTCCAGCGATGGAGCACCAGGGTGTGGCCTTTGGCTGAACTTGGGATCATAGGACAGCTTCTCCCTCCACCAGCCAGGCCAGGCTAATCATGCAAAGGTTCAGTGATGCCGGACCCAGGCCCTTGAAGGTTCTTAGCAAGGGGAAGAAACGTCTCTTTCGTTTTCTTTTTTACAAGGAAGTATAGCAGCACTAATATTTTAATGTTGTGACACGCTAAGCACTAGATGAAGACAGGCTATAAAGTTTAATCACTTAGAATTATAAAATAATCTCTGGTAAATCATTGATCCTGAGTTGATTGCCTCAGTTTCTTCTCATGTCTTAAAGAGTCTCCATGGCTTCCATCCCCCTCCTCTAAGCCTTTATTTCTCAGTTAAGAAAATGTGGAACCCTGGGGCCATTAACAACAATGACGGAAAGCAGAAGAAGAGCAAGCGATACAGAAGGAAAAGAGGAAGAAGGCATTCAAGGATTCAGTCAGAAACACACTCATCTACAGGGCAGGGAGATGTCACATCTATGCAGTGTTTCTGACCTCTAATACTACGACCTGTAGCTGCCAAGGAGGCCATTACCTTGTGTCTCGTCATTGCACCCACAATGAGGGGACAGACCATTCCCGAGAGAGTTCCCACTCCATTGGAGATGCCCATGAGAATGCTGGCATAACGAGGGGCAATGTCCAGGTGGTTGACATTAAAACCTAGAGTGAAACCAAAACCCCAAGATCAGAGTTAGAAACAGAATTCAAAATGCCTTTTGGGGAATGTCCAGCTTGCCCCGAGTCTTATCCATCTATCAGGTTTCCTCTAGAGGAGACTACTGTCACAGAGACTGTACCACAGCATTGCTGGGCAGTATCTGCACAAAGCGGAAAACACAGCATCTATGATTGATTAGCAATGTCTGCCTGGGTTCCCAATGTGGAGAAGTACGCCTGGACTGTGCTCACTCAGGGCAGTCAGCCCAACAGAATGAAGCCGTGCTTCATAAAATGCCTGTGGACATTGACTCATTCCTACAAGTCTCCATCTGGGAGCCTGCCTGGAGCCTAGGGCACAACTAGGAAGGATGTTTTCTGATCATCAATATTTGCACAAATATTGGCAAAGTCCTCTGTAGTTTACAAAAACATTTTCACCTACCTACTTGATTTGGAGCCTGCACATTTGGATTCAAGCCTTACTCCAACGATGGAATCAAGGACTTTTCAGCCTATGTTTGCTCTTCTCAGGTCTGGGCCCAATATTACTACTGACCTCCTAATGGTGCTGTGACCTGAGACTTTGGGCAAGAGCACCCGCAGAAGCCCTTGGCCAATAGCTAAGCTGCACTAACTGTACCACACCACAGCCCCAAAATTATGCAAGAATTAAGTTAAATAGCTGGGTAGGGTGGTGCAAGCCTGTAATCCCAGCACGTGGGAGACTGAGGCAGGAAGATCACCATGAATTCACAGCCAGCCTTGGCTACATAGTAAGTTCAAGGCCAGCTTGAACTACCAGTGTGAGCTACTGAAATTAGAGCAAGGGGTTGTGGAATTTATCTATTTTTTGTTTTCCTTTGTTTACTACTTAGAGAATTAATTAGAGATTCATGAAAAAAAAATCCTGAAGATAGGATTTAAAGTAAGGTTTTCCTAACCTGGCACATTGGTTGACTTTTTTTTCTTCTACTTCCACTCAGGAATAGCTTTTGAGAAAACATTTTTGGCCATAAACATACCTTCTCTTGCAGATCAAAGTGCCAGGCAATCAGAATATAAAACAGCTGCAAGAATAATGAATCTTACCATTTATTTGAATGTGATACTTTATTAGAAATGAACCTGGAGATAAAAAGCAATTAATGTGATTGTCAAGTATTGTGCTGTGATACAAAACGCAGGCATTGGCATTCATTAGAGATAATTTCAGCAAAGCCCCTTAGGTTTCTGGCTGTACAATCCCTGAGAAGCTGAGATACTAACAGGCTTCTGTAGAAGATGAGAAAAAGGCGCCGCCACGCCAGGCATTTCTCTGGACTGGACCTTCACATCTTAACCTCACCGAGTCAGCTCCCCTGCCTACTGTCAGCCTGGTCCTCCCAGCATTCCACTGATTCCTTATGAAGCTGCCAAATGGGAGGTCCTGAGAAATGGTCCCCCAGTGCCCACAGCACCACTTATGCCTCAGACAGGACTTTACTCCAAGTTGAGCAACTTGACCATTTGGGCAAGTGAACTCGCCCCTCTGAGTCTCAGTTTCCCTGTCCACACAGTGGACGCAGCAAGGCCCTTCTCATGGGGTTGGGATAGGAGTTCAGTAAGGCCAGGTTTTAACAGCAGCATGGACCCAGTAGGTACTCTCTGAAAAAAACAAGGTAGTTCCTGTGCCTGGGGGTGCTGAATTTCTCCCTGGATTATGATTTAATTGGCAATCCAGGGCAAAGGTAGCAGTGCAATCGTGAACACTTCTGTATCTCAGGAGGCAGGATATCAACACCTTTTGCACCACAGTTATGAAGGGAAGAGGCCCCTGGGGTCCCGAAGCAGCACCACTGCTCCACACTGTGTGGGAGCCTGGGGCCTCATGGCAGAGCTTGCTAGCAATGCAGGATCTCAGGTTCCGTTTGACCAGCACTTGCATGCAATAGGATCTTAGCGGGGTTTGTGTCCACTAAAATTTGAGAAGTGTACAGAAATAGAACAATAATAACAGAGCACACTTATTAATTTTCTTCCACATCTGCACTGTGCTAAGGACTTCAAGGACCTCATTTGCAGTACAAGGAAAACATTATGAGGACAGAATCTTTGATTTCCTCACTGCAGGAACCCCAGGGCTGAGGACAGAGCCTAGCTGGCCTCAGAAAGATCACGGGTTATTCTCCTCGAGACCCTAGGGTGTTGCTCTCTAATCTCTGGGGGAGAAGTTAAATAATGTAGCTAAGGTTTTCTTTGGTAAATAGTAAGTAGCTCAAAGAGGCCTCAAACCCAGGTCTGCATACTTCAAAACCCTAGTTCTCAGGTGTTTGAAACTAGACCTCTGGTTTGCTGTTTTTTGGTACCAGCAATCAAACTCAGGAACTTGTACTTGTCAGGCAGGTATTTAAGCCACTGAGCTGTTCCCTGGCCCTTTTGTTTTGCTTTTTTTGGTTTTCTAATTTAACTATTCATCAGCTCGATTTAAGGCATATACATCAAACCCCCATTTTAGAGTCTATCAGACCAGAAGCTCCCTATTTGGGATTCTAGAATGTTACCAATCTATCAGACATTTAACCTAACCTGGAAAGAAAAGGTTAATGGAAAGAGAAGATTTGGAGCCAGGAAGAACCATGCTTTTGACTTGCTTTAACCACCAACTGTGGGACAGAAGAGAAAAACCCAGTATTTCTGAGCTTTGATAGATATCAGTGAATCATCAGCAAAACGCCAGTATTACTTGTGTTCATAATGTCCTGAGATCGGTGCAATTATGCAAAATTTTCTGTAACCATTTCTTATATGTTTTAAAAGCAAACTTTCACTTTCTCCTCCAGCTTCACAGAGGGAGGCTCTGAAGTCTCTGGGACGTGATATGATTGCATGCTGGTCTCTCCCATGCAGTAGATTGCTTTCTGCCCCTAGAACACGCTGTCCATAGCACCAGTCCCCCAGGGTAGATGTGACAATGACATCATTGCTATGATTCCTAGCTGTTCCATCCCATTCTCTAAGTCACTTACCTTCTCTGGTCTTGCATTTTGTTTGGCAATAAAAGTAGCAAAGCAGAGAAAATCTACAGAAGCCCGGATGCTGTAACTGTATGAGCTAATGCAAGCAGTTCTCTGGTAGAGAGCAAGGACTCGAGGTCACAAAAGCCTCCATTAGGTAGGGTGAAGGGTGTTGACCCCAGAGGCACACTTGGGCCTCAGAGAAACCACCTGGGCCTTTCGCCATGACAGAGTAAGCAGGGACAATCTTAACTCAAATGGTTCCTAAGCTGACCCCAAGTGACCCCACACGTTGCCCCTGCTGGACAAAACTCTGGGCAGTGGCCCGGCTCCTTGGGAGTGGCCTGGCTACTTACTCCTCCTTCCACCTAAGACTCAACCCACACACAAGATGCAGGGACAGAAAGGATGCTTTACCTGAGATTGCAAAGCCACTGAATCCTACAGCGAGCACCAGAAAGGAGATCGCCACTCCTTTGGTGTGGGAAAAGCCAACCACCAGGAGCAAAGTTGCCTCCATGCCAAAACCTGCAAAGGGAAACAGCCGTAGGGAAAATGTCATTTTGTGTCACTTGGCCAGAGGTTATTCATCGATCAAATAAGAATTAATCTGTACTTCCAGAGACTGAAGCTTTTAGTGTGTACATTCTGACACAGCGCTTACAGTAAGACCTAGATGTTTGATGATGTTTGATGACTACAGGACCATGCTAGTGTTACCTGGGTATTCTGGGAACTCTACCGTTATCCTGTGCACTTTCAGGGCTACCTGGCCCCAGAGTGTTCCAATGGTGCTCCTGGGATGAAGAATACCAATACCATGTCTATTGCCAAAAGTGACCAGAAAACTTTGGTGAACATTTAAAATAAAAAAACAGCAGTTTATTGCTTGTATGCATGAAATTCTTTAAGAGAATTTTTTTAAAAACAATAAAAATGAAACAATTTCAAATTAAGACAGGAAATTAACAATGCTATACTCCATTTTTCTATCTTCAAAACAGTTGTTCAGATTACCAGATAAAGGCATGCAAAACTGATTAAACAATTCGGCATTGTCTGTTCCTTTCGCTAAACCAATAGAAATTAGTAGTATAATTATCTTAGCTATCTTGTGTGTGTGTGTGTGTGTGTGTGTTTGTGTGTGTGTGTGTGTGTGTGTGGATAGATGGATGGATAGGTAGGTAGGCAGGCAGGCAGATGGACAGATATGGATAGGTAGGTAGGTAAGTAGGCAGATAGATAGATAGATAGATAGATAGACAGACAGATTCCCATTCTTTTTTCCTCACATAAAATTCTTTCATTAATTCACCAAGCTCTCCAACATCTTAAAAAAAAAAAGCCATTTGCACAAAAAAATGCAAATGGGCAAGAGTATTTTCTGTTCTTTTCATTTAGAAAAGTGAACCCAGAACAATAAAAAAAATGAGAAAATTATGGAGAAGAATCTCTCACCCACACGCACCGCCCAAAGTCAGCCAACAGTGGAGAGCAGGGCGGTGTAAAGCCCTGTGAAGCACCCTGGCGTGAGGGGGACCAGTCCCATTCCGGGCACCTCCGTGCAGGCTTCCTACGGAGACCTTGTAGCCACCACACACAAATCAAGCCCAAGTTCCTCTAAGCTTCCTCCAAAAGAAACAGACGCCTAAGCCACTACCGCCAAATTCCTTCTTTTCCCTTTCTAGATTCTTCTTCTCTCCACTTGTGTGTAAAACGCTGGATGGAGATTCCGACAGATGCTCAGAGTCACTCAGTGAACAACTGACTTCACCTCTTCAATTCCTCATAAATAAAAAGAAGATGAAGATACTGTTACAACCTGGCAGGACGTGGGAAGACGGAACGGAACTGAATACGCGGTGCACGGAGCAAGGCGCACAGGCGCAGCTCAGCACAGGGCTGCCAGAAACGCGGTGCAGGGACTTCTCTGTTGTCTTGGACTTCCTCTTTCTCATCTTTCACACTAAGATCTGTTGATCCAGCTTCAAAATACCTACTTAATCCATCTTCCACTTTCCCCAATTGTTATGACTTGTGTCTAGATGTCCCCCAAAGTCTCATGGAAATTTCTGGAGATGGCTGAATCTAGCGTGTGATTGACTTGTAGTGAGGTGCTGGGATTAAGGGAGGGTGATGGTGCGTCAGTCCACTGACTGAACTGGTACCGCCCTAATCCCGGAGGACAGGATACAGTATAAGGGGCAGAAGGAGGCCTCTGTCTCTCCTCTGTTGTTGCTTTTCCTGTTTTCCACTGCCATGAACGACTGCCCACCCTGCCTTAGAGCCAGCCGATGGTGGACTGAAAGCTCCACAAACTGTGAGCTATTTAAACCTTCCATCCCTTAACTCGTGGGTGTTGGGTATTTTGTCACAGCAACCAGAAAAGTAACTAACACACCAGCCTTACTCCCAGGCCTCAGTGGTGCTCACCTGAACAACCACAGCAGCCTCCTTGGGGGTCCTCCCCCGCCTCCATTCCCTCCTCCTCCCCTTCTCCTTCCTCCTCTGATCCATTCCTTTGAACACTCTTCCAGAAGTACATGCTTCCTCAGGCCCTTATTTGCTTTGTCAGGGGCACGTCATTCTAAATGGCCCTGCTTCCCCTCTGCCAGTCTCTGTGTCTGAGTTCAGTGCCCCGTCCCAGCCAAACAGTGCTCTGCGTTGCATGCACAGTTCTACAGCTCTGTCTCCATCGCACACCTGCCCCACTCCTGAGCCTATTTTCCCAGCCCCGAGAGGCTCTCCTTCTATCATCTTCCCCTTTTCTGGAGAAATTTATCATCCTTTACAGTCGGGCTCAACCATTGCTTCCACTAGAAAATATGTGGACGATTCTTCCACATCTCCCACCAAGGAAGTGGACTTATTACTTATTTGATAGAGCTTTTCAACACTGCTTTGTCATTTTTTACTTGTGCTTTTGCCTCTCCCACAAAACTGCACTCTGAACACAGAGCCTGTTTACCATGTAGTGGGCACTTGTGCCGGCCAAATAGCTCAGTGAATTAAAGTACCTGCAAGCAGAGGCAAGGGCCGGGGTTCGATCCCTGGGCCTGCTGTGGCAGCCCCACCCCCAGGGCACACTGAGACTGCTTTTGAGATTGGGCATGGTGGCATGCACCTGTAATCCCAGCTTTTGGGAGGCTGTAAACAAGTGGATCACTATGAGTCCAATCTAGTAGTAAGACCCTGAACACTCTGTAGACCCTTCCCTAAAATAAAAAAAAAAAAAAAAAAACATGTAGTGGGTCCTCAATAAGTAACACATGGCACTGCTTATAAAACCAACTACTCTACTCAGAAGGCTGAGATGGGAGGATCACCAGTTCAAGGCCAGCCTGGGCAGCATGATTGAAAAAAAAAATCAATGAACAATACTTAATGACGTAAAGCCAAGGAAAAGGAATAGAATCAAAATATTTAGTTTAGAGCTAGACATGGTAGCACACACCTACAACGCTAGCTACATAGGAGGCTGAAGCAAGAAGATCCCATGCCAAAGGCCAGCCTGGGCTACTTAATAACACCCTCTTTCAAAATAAAATAAAGGACTAGAGATGTACTTGAGCAGTACAGCAATTGCCTAGTATGCATGAGGCTGTCGGAGCAATCCTCAGTTTAAAAATTATATGTTGAAATACAAGGTACCGCACTTATTGTAGATCTTAGTTAAGTCACTTACCTTTCTGTACCTTTTTTCTTAAAAACTACTATAGAGGATAGAAAGTATGAATAACTATTTTACATGAACATCTAAAGTGGATCAAAAGAGAATATAGAAGCAATGTAGAACTTTTTTATATGTATTTGGTACAGGGCCTTGCTACGCAGCTCTGACTCACAGTAATCCTCCTGTCTCCAGCCTCCCCAGCGCTGGGATTACAGGCTTGCACCAGCACACTCAGCAGCAGTGCTGGTGGGGCCTGTGGTGCCAGGGATCAAACTTTAGTCCCTGCACTTGCCTAAGTGGGTGCTGAGTCCACTGAGCTATCTCACTGGCCCTAATATAGTGCTTTTCAAGGCTTGGGCTTGAGCTGAGAATGTAGCTCAATGGTAGAGAGCTTTTCTGCCATGTACAAGACCTGGGTTTAATCCCAACAACTATGAAAATGTGACTTACACACTTGTTGTTTATTTTTAATATTGTTTCAACATTTTAAATGATAAACGGGCAAAGACTGCAAATGGCCTACCTTAAAAACAGCACATGAACATAGATGCACCTCTTAATACTTTCTTTTTTGAGAAAAACATTAACTTTTAGTTTTTAAATGTAAGTTTCTCAAAACATTATATTTTTAATCTTTCTTAAAGACAATTAAAAAACTAAAAATAAAAAGGTTATTCCAGAAGGTTAATTCCCCCAAGGAATTCTTCACATCGTGTACAGAATAAAACTTACAAGCCATATTTATTGGTTCATCTATAAGGAAAATAATATATATTTTAATCAAATAGCAGAATTTCAAAGGAAGAAAAGGGACTGAAGAATTTAACTGGTTCATATTAATGGTTAAAATACTGCAATTAGGGCAGTATATTCCAGGAGCTCAGGGATTTAAAAAAAATTATGTATTTTAGTACAGGGTCTCACTACACAGATCAGACTCATAGTGATCCTCCTGTATTCAGCCTCCCAAGAGCTGAGATTACAGGCACACACCACCACACCCGGTCTCAGTCACCATCTCAGAGCACCCTAGGGGTAGGGCTGGCATAGCAAGCCAGGGATCAAACTCTGGTCGCTGCATCTGCCTAAGCAGGTGCTTTAATCTGATAAGCTATCTGGCCAGCCCTTCAGGGATAAAACTTGAACTTCACAGATAACCAAAGAATCCTTCATAGTGAACCTTTTCAGCATTGACAAGACAGGCAACACTAGGATTTCAAGACCTAGGAAAACTGTCATTGCATATTCAAATAGTGTGAAGCACACACAGCCAACTGACTCGGCCAGAGCAGAACTCTGCTCTCTAGCCCCACTTTCCATGGACTGCAGCAGCAGCATGGGAGCAAGACACCTGCTCCGAGGCTCCGAAATGCGCCCTTGCTCAGAATGAGCTAGGAGGCAACAGCACGTCTCCAGGTGATTTGTTTCATTTAAATGTTAGTAATGACATACATGCCTTGTCTGGTGAGGAAAGAAGGGTACAATAGTTTCAAAATATGTGTGAACCTTCTCAGATGAGATCTGTCCTCTGCATCTCCCTTTAGCAAATATGAAAACAACTAAAATTCAATAAAAATAGTGGCAAGTGGCTCATGATACCAAAATAAATCTGGACTATACAACGATGGCCCAAAACTGTGGTTTCAGGTAGTGACCTCTGGTCTAGTAGCTCTGTATTTACACAAAATAGACCTATGGTGGTCTTTCTTTCTATTTCTCTTTCTTATTTATGGTTTCTGTGTTGAATGCATTGCCCCTACTGTGTTAAAATATAAGACAGTGTGAAAAGATGTGAGTGGGCATTTTTAAAAGATAAGAAAGGTGTTGGGCGTGTTCACATACGTATTCTAGTTTCTTCAGAACGAAAGAGTTTGTCTCAACAGGTCCTTCGCTAGCTCTCAAGAATCTGAGTGCTCATTGCCACCAGTGCCATCTCCCGTCATGGAGAAACAATGGCAGAAGTACTGGGGCCGAATAAAATGTGAACAAGACATTGCCACAGTGTGTTCAAGACCTTCAAGTTATCTGGGTTCAGAAAAGGTTGTGAGAATTGTGTTAGGTCCAGGATTTTCTTTCAAGCTGCAGGTGTAGTAGATCATTCTGGTCAACAGAAATACGATTGAATAACAGATATTTGTTAAATGTCTAATTGGAAAAGTTCTGGTTTTTTCAGCATCTTGAACACAGAAGAAAAGAGGCACCAACACTTGGTGAGAACCTCCTGACAGTTGGCTGTCACACTACATCCATTTATGCAGGAGTCATGTAGCTCACATCACTATCATCCAAAGTGAGTGTCACTGTTTTAGAGAAGAAAGTTGACTCTGAGAATTTAAAGCCAACCCATCTTTCTCCACCTCTATTGTTACCACCTTCAGCTCAAGCCACCATGAGCCCTCGACTTCCTTGAAATAGCCTTTCGCAAGGTCTCCCCTTCTTTTATTTTTATGTCCCACATAGTTTCCACATCTGGAAATTAAGTCAGACTGTGTTCCTTTCCAGCTTTAAAACATCCACTTGGGGCCGGGGAGATGGCTTAGTGGAATAAGCACTTCCCTGGCAACCCAAGGCCCTGAGTTCAATCCCTGGTTCCATGAGAAAAAAAAAAAAATCCACTTTCCAGGGCTGGGCAGATAGCTCAGCGGTCTAAGTGCCTGCCTGGCAAGTGCAAGGACCTGCGTTTGATCCCTGGCATCACATGCCCAGCAGGCCCTGGAACTCACCACGCTGCCTACAGAAACTAGGTGTGGTGCTGCATTCCTGTAACCCCAGCGCTGGGGAGGCTGAGACAGGAGGATCACTACAAGTCTGAACTGTGTAGTGAGACCCTGTATCAATAAACAAAATAATTTTTTAAAAAAAAAATCCACTTTCCAGTGGTCCTCAAATAAAACCCAAGCTTCTTCTGTGTCTACATCTTAGTCACTTTCCTCATTGCTGGGAATTAATGCCCAATATCCACAACTTAAGTGAAAAGAGATTTATTTTGGTCACAGTCACAGTCCGCGGTCATGGCTCATGGTGTGGCAGGAAGCAGCCAGCGAAGAAAGACCAGAGAGGGCGCTCCCCGCTTCCAGGCCCTGCCCTTCCAGGCTCCCCGCTTCCGGTTCCCCCCTTCGAGGCCCCACCCTTCCAGGTCTTCCTACCCCTGGTGCTCTCTCTTCTGACCAAGATTTTCTTCTAAGTCCTAAGTATAGCAGACCATTTTGATCAATGGAAATAACAGATACAGCTGTAGAACTGCTAACATCATATTTAACTGTACTTTTCCCCTTGATCCTTCAAAACCCCCACATTTAAGTCAATGAAACTTGGGGGGAAAATCCAGACATATGTCGTATCCCTCTAAGGGGCCCGTGGTTTGCCCCCCAGCTGCGCATTCTGATCCCACCTCCTGCGACTCCCCAGCCCATCCGCACTTTCTGCCCTTGCCCCCTTGTATTCGCAAGTGCACCCCGTTCGTGCCTGCCACGGGCCGTTGCCCTTGCTTTCCGCTCTGCCTGAAGCACTGTCCAGCAAGAGTTATAACAAGGCCACACACGCTGACCTGCCACGTCCTGACCCACACTGGAATCACTGAGGGCCGGCGCGGCTTTAAACACAAGAGGGAAGACTTGAGCTGAATGCCGAAGGATACGAAGAAAAGGCCGGCTGGGAAGAGAAGCAAACCTCACAGTAAAGAGAAAGGAGTGAACGACATCAGGGATAGGAAGATATGTTCAGGGCTTGCGGGGGAGGCCTACACGCTGGTGCCGAGTTTGAACCTTAGAGGGGAAAGACTGGGGAAGCTGCACAAGTTTCCAATTGTGGCGGTAATAAATGACCATGGGCTTAGTGACTCAAACTTGTCCTCGTAGAGCTCTAGAACTCAGACGCTGCACCCGGGTCCCACTGAGCTGAGCAAGTTGTCTGCAGTGGGGTTCACTCCCGAGATGCTGGAGGAGAACGTGCTTGTGCCTTTCTCAAGTCTGTCTAGGCTTTCTAGAACCCACTTGAATTTCTTGGCCCATGGCCGCGTCACTGACCCCTGACCTCTTCTCTGCCACCTATTACATAAATCCTTGGCATTCCACTGGGCCACCCAGATGATGTGGGTTCAGATCTCAATGTCCCCTCGAAGCCTCACATGCTCCTAAGTGGGGCTTTGAGAAGTGGCTGGGTTATGGGGCTTGTAGCTGACTTGCTGGTAGGAGGTGGGGTCTGGTCAGAAGAGGTGGGTCACTAGAGGGGTGGCCTGAGCCTGTCTCCTTCCTGACCCTCCCATAATCATCTCTCTGCCTCTCATTGCCATTCGCTGTTCCTCCTCTGCCATGCCACCCTGCCTTGGAGCCTACCGACTATGCGGGGAAACCTCAACAAAATCTGAGCCAAATAAGCCTGCCCCCCTTTAGCTTGTGGGTGTTGGGTACTGTGTCTCACTATGGAGAAAAGTTACTAAGACAGCTCCCGAGCTCAAGATCCTTGCTGAAGAATCTGCAAAGCCCCTCGCACCTGTGAGTAACATACTCAGAGGTTGTGAGCAGCGGACACTAGGACCCCTATGGTAGCCACCCTGGATAGCACGCTGGGTGCAGGGCTCCAGCGCTTCCGTCCCTGCTCCCAGAGACCAGAGCTGCACTTGCCAACATTTCATCTCCCACACAAACGTTCAAGCTGAAGTCAGGCCCAAGCAGCCCTGGCACTACTGGGATGCCCAGCGTCTGGTCAAACTCTGTACCCAAGATACACAGAGGGGTCAGATCACTCCTGTTTCTGCACCCCTCACACAGTCTTCCTTTCTAAATGGACCAGACCCACCTAACCTAGAGCAAGATCATGCCCATTTCCTCCTGTTCCGTGGAGGGAATACTCCAGCTGTGATCCCTTGCCCATAGGCCATGCTGTCCTCCATCTCCCACTCTAGCTGAACCCAGTGCACAGGAGAGGCAGCAGCAAAGGGTGACAGAGGGCCAGCAAAGAGCTTGGCCAGGCCTCACACAGGAGCTGCCACTCAAGTAAGTCACTTTCTTTACCACCACCTCACAGACTAGACATCACTTCTAAAGCAGGTCTGCAGTTCTGTTTAACCCTACGGAAGCCGCGCAAATCCACCGTGAAGTCCACAGTACCTCCACAGTTCATGATCTTTCTGACAGCAGTTGTGGTCAAAATTTTTCTGCTTCTTAAGTAATCAGCCAGTTGTCCTCCGATAGGCACAACAATTGTCATCACCATGTGTGGGACTGCCGACAAGAGACCCACCTGGAAGGGAAAGAAGCACCCAGCACATTTGATGCTGCTGGGAGATGCGCCTCCCCGCTCCCTGCTGACTCCCAAGCCACTGTCCCAGGGCCACCATTGGATGTAGTCACTTAATATGGCATCCGGGGAATTTAGTCCTTGTCCACCAGTGAACAAGCAAATGCTATAGCACAGAGCTCGCTGTCTCCTCCATCGGCTGGGTGCTCTCTGAGGCCAGAGTTGACTTTTACGTATCTCAGAGGCTGCAACTGCCAGCCCCGGGCCTGGCACAGGGACGAGAGCCCTGGTGTAGGGTGGCAGTCACTGCCTCTACGATCTCTCCTGACAACACCTGTAGCCATGTAGACTCCACCTCAGCTACGCCCCTGTCCTGTGATTTTGGAAGGCGTTCTGATTCTTCTCTGATGATTGTTTCTGTTTCCCCATTCTGAGATTCCCCCAACAAGACACAGACAATGGCTGGAGACATTGAAAGTAGCTCCTTCTAAATAGGCACAAACCATGGTGGTTCCTGCTACAGCCACTGGGGCTGTGAAATTCTTTCTGGTGCTCACTAAGTTTGCAGGGAGAAATGAAACCCACACTGTTAAGTCTTTTTATCTTGGTCTAGTACGCAGTCCCTGAGTTAACTTCAAACATACTTTGAGACTGGGTAGAAACAAAATCTTTAAAAGCAGCTTAATACAGCTCTGATCCTTGTTAAGAGAAATCAAATAGCTAGCTGTGCTCTGCACAGAACGTGTAACTTGTCTGACCTCCCAGCTATTAAGTATCACGGAACCATTATGAGTTATGATCATACAAGGATTCCTGGGAGAATCAGGAGCATTAAAGTTCAAGAATATTTGAAGTCTCTGTGTGTTTACCTTACTTATTGCAAATCCAAAGACTTCTTCAAAATAAGCAGGCTGACTTATTAAGAGCAAATAAAAGGTCCAACTTCTGCAAAAATTCGCCACAATGATTGCATACACTGGCAGCGATGTGAAAAATCTTTTCCACGGTGTGTTAAATTTCTAGGGAGGAAAGACACCACGATATTTTCAAGGAAGATACTGACATCTTATTTTGTAGGAGAATAGCATAATCATAAAGAGCAATACAGAAAAGAAGCAAGGCCTCGTCAAGGCAGTCACACTTACGTTTGGACTGACCAAATTGGCTCCTTCTCCTATACTTGTCTCAATATAAGTCTTCTCCTCATTGGATATCGTTGGGTGAGCTGCTGGGCACTCATAGGCCTGCAGCAGCCAAAACATGTACCAAACAATCCCAAACATACCTGTAATTAAAAAGCAAAATGCTTTCATGAGGTGGTCTCTCTTTCTTCCATCTCTAAATCTTTCAACTTTTACAGTATTCTCCAATAACAATATACACATCCAGGAGAAAGTACTTTGATGATTTTTCTGCTGCTGTGAACTGGCATTTAAAGAAAGATAATGTTCGGCTTGTTGAAAAAAAAAATCAATCAATTCATTGCAAGTAAACAGATATTCTACTATATGATAATTTTTCCTTAGTAATCTCTACTTTCATACAGTAATAAACTCCTCATTGAATCCCTATATAGTAAAAATACCATCTCTATAAGTCATCCTGTGAAATAATAAAGCCAGATCACTCACCATAAATATAAAAGACTGAGGGCCATCCGATGTACTGCACCAATACCCCAGCCAGGGGCATGGCGACCACAGCACCCGCATAGGACCCTGAAATGAGAAAAGACCCAGGCAAGTTGACCAATGGCCTTGCAAGACCTGACCATTCACTGAGAAGTCACATGGCAGAGTTGAAGACAGATCAAGCTAGAGTCAAATTACCACTGTGGTGAGAATCAGACAAACCCCCAGCGTGCCTGAACACAGAGCTTTGCGAGGAGGAAGGTCACCAGGTGCCCTCTAACTTCACCCATGATAATCCATGGATCAGATAAAGACTTCCCCAGAACCACAATATGGAATTATGTGAGAAAATGGAATCAGAAGAGAAATTTCTAGGAGAAATTTTGGAAAGTCAAGCAGGCACAATATTAACTGCTGAAAATAGCAAGCTGCAGGAACATATGGAGGTGCTTTTCAGAGCTTGCAGTCTCACCCTAGGTCTTTAAATGAGAGATACTGAGCTATTAAAAGTTTCGTACTTTTAAGCCTTGATTTAAAAAAAATAAAAGAACTAGTTGAACTCTAAGATGGCAGATGTCATCTCTATATACTTTTTTTTTTTTAATTTAGTACAGAGTCAACAGAGTCTCACAACACAGGTCAGACTCATAGTCAGCCTCCTGTTTTCAGCCTCCCAATCATTGGGATTACAGGCATGTGCCACTACAGCCAGTCTCAACGTCTCAGTGCCCCCCGGGGGCAGGATTGGCACAGCATCCAAGGGGATCCAGCCTCATTCTTGTGTCTGCTGGCCGGCCCTTTTATGCACTTCTTATATTAGTGCATTTTTAAGTTTATTTTTTGTTGAATACAAATTAAAAGAGGCCATTGTATTGGATGAAGTTTTGGGTCTAGCCCCAAAAGACCAGACTAAAAATCAAAATGGGGTCACTCAAGCAGAAGTGCCTTGTCACCAAACAAAAGCTAAGCTGCTTACCTGACTTTTCATGAAACCATGAAAAGACACAGAGTAAAGGAAATCACTAACAGTGGTAACATAACTTACAGAATGGGAAAAAATGTTTTGCCAACTACTCCTCAAAAAAAAACCCCCTAATATCTAGAATACATAAAAGCTTCCACTTTGTCCTGCACCCACCGGTCCAAGCCCAGGCCGACCTTGTGAGAGAGGCCTTTCCCTGCACTCTCCGGACTGACCCATCACAGCCTGCCCTGTGAGTGAGAACTTCCACGGTGCCTTGGACCCACTCCATATCCGACCAATCCCAGGCCCTCCTAAACCCGCCGCTCCAAGCCCAGGCCTGCTGCATGAGAGAGGCCTTTCCCTGCATTCCCCAGATCTCCTCAGCCCATCCAGAGCCAGCACAGTCCATTCTGTCAGTGAGAACTTCTGCCATGCTCTTGGGAGTCCTGCAGACCCACCAAAGCACAGCCCTGGTGAGTGTGTGTGAAAGCTTCTCCACTCTCTTGTTGCCCCCATACTCCTCCAGACCCAGCCCAGACCTGGTATACAGGCTTGGGGTGAAACCCTGCACCTAAAGTCCCTGCAGTGAGAGTAGGGTCAAAACCACACAGCTAATCCAGGAACAGAACATCTTACCAGAGGGGTACAGCAGGCCCACCTCCAAGGGCAACAACAATAAGGAGCTGAGCACAGTAGCCAGACCCAAGCCAGGCACAACTGCATGAACTAGAACTTGGTATATCAGTACCTGAATTTCATTAGGTGATAAGGATATAATTGCACCAAAGCTCTATACCAAAGGTCAGAGGTCAGTGCTATATGAAATGATAAAGACAAGGACCAAAATGCAATCTCAGGCCTTGAGCCCCCCCATAACAAGTGCAGAGGACACTAGCTCAGCTGAAATATAGGAATCAATAGTGTTGGAGGTAAATAAACAACATCAGAAAGATATAGAGGAACTCAGAGCAGAATTAAATTCTGGAGAAAAAAAAAAAAAAGAAAGAAAGAAAGAAAGAAAGAAAGAAAGAAAGAAAGAAAACTCTGAATTCATAGCATCTGAACTAAAGAATCAAATGCAGAAACATATAGAGGAAATACAATGCCCACCCAGAACAAGTGCAGTGGACACCAGCTTAGCTGAAATTTATGAATTAAAGGCATCGGAAGTAAATAAGCAACTGCAGACAGGTTTAAAGGAACTCAAAGCAGAATTAATGTCTGAAATGAAAAAAAAAATCTCTGAATTCATAGCATCTGAACTAAAGAATCAAATGCAGAAACAGAGGGAGGAAACCCAATCTGAAAAACAAACTCTGCAGTAAAAGAATTAATAACTGCTTCTAAAGAACACATTGATAAAAAAAAATATAAGAGATTTTAAAAATGATGGATTTCTTGAATGAGCAATACAGGAAAGAAATAGATCACATGAAGCAGAGTCAAAGAGATGTAGAGGAACTTAAAATCTCGATCATAAGCCTGCAAAACTGTTTGAGTGAAAATGAAGACAAAGTTTCAGATCTTGAAGACGTTGGTGCGGCTGGTGAAAAGGCAAAAAAAAATCTCTTAAAAACAACTAGGATGCAGGAAAAAATAATTCATCACCTGCAAGACCAATCAAAGATGAACAATGTGAGACTAATAGGTATCAATGAAAAATAAAGAGTCAATACAAATGACATAAAAAGAATATGGGCAGAAGTAATAGCAGAAAACTTCCCAAATATGAGGAAATAATCTGACATTCAGGTAACTGAAGCATACAGAACGCCAAAAAACCTCAACCCAATTAAAAACACACAGAGACATATAAAAGTCAAGATACCAGAAATTCAGCTCAAGAATAATATACTGAAAGTTGCTAGAGAAAAGAAGCAGATCACATTCAAAGGAAAACCCATCAGAATTACAGCCGACTTCTCTTCACAAACCATAAAGGCAAGAAGAGCATGGAGCAGAGTACTTCAAGTACTATATGAAAACAAATTCCAGCCCAGACTACTATACCCTGCAAAATTCTCTTTCGAGTTTGATGGAGAAGTGAAATACTTCCATGACAAAGAACAACTAAAGAATTTCATAATGGCAAAGCCAACCCTATACAGACTACTGAAAGATGTTCTAGAGAGGGACCCACCTATATAAAGCAAATCTTAATGAACATGAAAAATCTAATATCCAATACCACAATCTTAACAGGAGACCTTAAAACCCCCTTATCCCCAAAAGATAGATCAACCAGAAAAAAAAATTAGCAAAGAAGTAGCAGAACTGAACCAAAGCTTGAAACGAACTTGGTGGACATATACAGAATGTTCCACCCAAACACAGCTGAATACACATTTTTTTCAACTGCACATGGGTCATTTTCTAAAACAGACCACATACTGGTCCATAGATCATGTTTAAGTATATGCAAGAAAAATGCATATTATCTGACCACAGTTCAATGAAACTGGAAATAAACAACAGAAAAAAACCCTAAATACATGGAAATTAAACAACACCTTACTCAGCAATCAATGGGTTACAGATAAAATTAAACAAGAAATTCAACAATATCTATAATTCAATGAAAATTCATCCACAACTTATCTGAATTTATGGGATGTGATGAAAAGCAGTTCTCAGAGGGAAATTCATAGCTGTATACTCACACATTAGGAAAACAGAATGGAAAAAAATAAACACCCTAATGCTGCACCTTCAACAACTAGAAAAGGAAGAGCAAACCAAACCTAGAGCTGAAAGATGGGAAGAAATCATAAAGATTAGAGCAGAAATAAATTTCAATTGAGATGAAGAAAATAGTTCAAAGAATTAATGAAACAAAAAGCTGGTTCTTTGAAAGATTAAATAAAATCAATAAGCCCTTAGTTAATCTCATCAAAAAGAGGAAAGAAAAAATTCAAATACAAGCAATAAGGAATGAAAAGGGTGTAACTACTACAGGCCCAGTGGAAATTCAGAAGATTATCAATAGCTACTTTGAGAATCTTTACACTCACAGACTAGAAGCCACAGGCAAAATGGACAGATTCTTAGAAAGGTCCAAATTACCAAAACTGAATCAAGAAGATATAGCCACCCAACAACAACAGCCAATGAAATACAAAATGTAATAAAGAGCCTGCCAACAAAGAAAACTCCAGGTCCAGATGGATTCACAGCTGAATTCTACAAGAAATTCACAGAAGATATAATCCCCATACTCCTCAAACACTTCAATGAAATTGAAAAGGAAAGAGTTCTCCCAAAATCATTCCTGGAGGTAAGTATTATACTCATACCAAAATCAGGGAAAGATGCAACTAAAAAAGAGAACTACAGCCCAATCTCCCTCATGAACATTGATGCAAAAATCCTCTATAAAATCCTAGCAAATAGAATACAGCAAATCATCAAGAAGATCATACACCATGACCAGGTAGGATTCATTCCAGGGATACAAGGATGGTTCAATATTTGAAAATCTATAAATCTAATACACTATATCAATAGAGTGAAAACTAAAAACCACATGATTATCTCAATTGATGCAGAAAAGGCTTTTAACAAAGTCTAACACTCATTCTTGTTCAAAGTCCCACAGAAAATTGGAATAGAAGGCCTGTAATTCAATCTGATAAAAGCCATCTATGACAACCCAATGGCTAATATAATTCTAAATGGGGGAAAACTAAAATCTTTTACTCTCAAATCTGGTACAAGACAAGGATGTCCTCTATCAACCCTCCTATTCAATATAGTTCTGAAATCATTAGCTAGAGCCATTAGACAAGAGAAAGAAATAAAAGTAATAAGAATAGGTAAAGAAGAAGTTAAACTGTCATTATTTGAAGATGACATGATACTGTACTTGGAAGACCCAAAAAAACTCCAAGAAGATACTAGAACTGATAGACAAATTCAGTAGCACAGCAGGATACAAAGTCAATACCCAAAAGTCAATAGCATTCCTCTACACAGATAATAAACACACTGAGAAGGAAATTAGAGAAACAATACATTTTACAATAGCACCACGGAAAATGAATTGCCTTAAAATTAATCTAACTAAAGAAGTCAAAGATCTTTTCAAGGAAAATTACAGTACTCTGAAAAAAGAGATCATAGAGGA